AGGTTTGATTAGTAAAGAAAAACACTCACACTGAAAACTGATATCCACACAAACACACACACACACACACATAGAAACACATACATGCCAAAAACACACGCGCGCATATCACAAGCAATTATAAACACGCACAGCCTAGAAGAAAAGACAAAAAACAGCAAAGAAAAGCGCCTGAAAAAGACATTAAAAGCCTAAAAGTGAGACGAATTAATCTAAGAAAAAACCTTAACACGTCCCGGCTAATACAAACACATAAAGTCAAATAAAATTCTTCACACCTCCCAAACAAAAAAGGGATTAGACTGAGAAGAGATAAATATACCACACGGTCATTTTGCCGGCAATAATGAAGTTTTCTCGGCTCTCCTCATGTATTTCATTCCTATAATGCTTCCGCTTTGTGTTTCTTTAATAGGTTTCAAATGGTTTCAAAATGAGTTATTTCAAAATTTCGTGTACCAATCAAGACGGCTGTTATGCCATCACTTTTAAATTGTATCTTCACGCTATTAATCTTATTATATGTTGAGTTATTGTTGAGCTAAATTAATTTTATTAAATTAAAAAAAAATAGTTTATAGTTTGTTACTCTGTCAGGTTTCAAAAAAACATAACTACCATCGTTTTTCATTCCGTGAATTAGCTAACTAATTAACTAACTAATTTCATGTAAAATTAATAAAATTTATAATAAAAATTTTATCTGATGAATAAAAAATGTATACTATATTTAATTCTTTTAAATTTATTATTCATTGAAACTAACACATCTAAAACATTTTATTTATGACATAGTCCAAAAAGTATTTTCTCTATAATTATGAATAGATATGATCAATAAACTTTAGTGGCTCTTCAAATGTCACAGTCATTTTTTTCGTGCTAACAACAAATCGTAACAAATCAAAATGAAAAAAAAGTTATCGAGAACGAAATGACATGACAACGAAATTTTTCATGAACAATTTAATTTTTTTTAAATTTTTACAAAAATAAAAAGCCCTTAAAAAAATTTCTTGCAATAGTCACCCATTCAAAAATATTTTTTAAAAATTAAAAAATTTGTGCTCATGTCTTCATTATAATGATAATGATAGATAATGAAAATGATATAATGATAATATGATATAATGATAATGATATATAATGATATATAATGATAATGATAAAAGAATAGTTATATATATATATATATATATATATTGATATAATTATAATGATATATAATTATAATGATATGTATGTAATGATAACATCGTACACTGGTTTAAATATATTAAAACAAAAATTTATTTTTTCGGATCAAAAATATGTAAAACAAAAAGAATGAAAGAATACAATTAAATATACAAATAACCAAACATACATACATAAAGTATACAACGATTAAATTATACAAAACAATATATACAAACTCGAATTAAGAAAAATAATTTACGATGAAATAAATCAACAATCACGGACGTTACATTATTTCATACAAACACACAATCATAAAAACACAACAACATACAAACATAAAAACACAACTACATACAAACAAACAAAAATAAAAACATACAAAGAAATTTGCATACTTTAATTAAAATATACAAACATGTAAATCACTATTCAAACATACATATTAACAAAATGCGTACATACAAACAGATGCAAGAATACAAAATATACAAAAAAGGATTGTATAATTGTATGTAAAGTTTTGAATTAGCGTGCGTGTTGTTTTCTGGCTTGTAAATAAGAAACTTTATCGGCGTAAGCTAGGCAGGGATGCATAAAAATTGATTGATAACTTGCTTAGAAAAGAAGAGCTACTCAAAAATAAAACCTTTGATGGTTGGTAGGTTGATTGGCTGGTTGGTTGGTTGGTTGGATGGTTAGTTGGTTGGTTGGTTTATTGGTTGGTTAGTTGATTGGTGGTTTGGTTAGTTAGATGACTGTTTATATGGTTGGTTGATTAAGTTGTTCATATTTTTTGTTTTATGATTTAATTTTAATATCTTTTCATTTTTTTAAATAATTTTTGATTTGTCTCAAATATTTTCAGCACTTTAACTTTCTCTATTCATCAACATGTTCATCATTAATTTCTTCTTCATCATTATCATTCTCATAAGCACACATACCAACATCATTATCATCATTCCACAGAGAGAAACATCATTATCATAATCACACATATACGCAACATCATTATCACCACCACCACTATTCCATCATCTTGCCAACAGAAATCACACAACTGTTACTTGATCGGTTAATGTATCTACACATAGAAAAGACTTGCTTGTTGCTATCATATTTCATGTTTTTGGAATACACATAGTAGTGAATAAAAATGCCAAAACAATTACAACAATAACAGTCATAATGATAAAAAGATGTTTTGTTGGTTTATAAATTAATTTAAAATAAATAAATATTCTTCTTTGAAGTTTTTCCATAGATATATCTTTGGGTTTGCATCATCATCATCATCACCTATCATCACCACAGTCGTTGTTGTAGTCGTCGTCATCATCGTTAACGTTGTCTGTCATGTGATTATCATCATCATCATCATTACCATCACATCATCATCATCATCATCACCGTTTTTATCATCACCATCATCATCGTCGTCATCATCATCATCATTAGCGTTATCATCATCATCTTCGTTAACATTATCAATGTCATCACTAACATTATCGTCATTCTCATCATCATCCATCATTGCCATTGTTATAATTTTATCTTGATGAACTCGCACGCAAACTTTAAATTATCAATTATAACTGTCAAACGTGTCAATGTTCTCTTAAAAAATAATTTATTCTTTCATTCATCTGTTTTTTCTTTCGCTCGTTCTTCATGTTCACTCAATGAGTTTGTTCATTTATTATTACTTGTTAGTTCATTTTCTTGTTAATTTACTGTTTTATTAGTTGTTTCACTCATTAATTCATTGGTTCATCACTTTATTTATTTGTATATTTATTATTGATTTAGTCATTCCAATGTTCATTTGTTCATTCGTTCTTTTTTATGTTGTTCGTTTGTTCGTTCGTTCGTTCATTCATTCGTACTTTCGTTCCATTACTCCGTCTTTCATTTGTTCATTTCATTCAAGCCATTCGTCATCCGTTATCACTACTTATCTCTGCTGTCTGTTTAGTATGCGCGTCTGTGTGTTTGTATGTGAGTGTCGGTATGTATGTGTGTGTGTGTGTTTGTGTGTTTTTGTGTGTGTGGCCTTTTATCTGTTTTTGTGCGTTTTCGTATGTATGAATTTAAAATATATTTATGTGTGTGTGTGTGCGTGTGCTTGTGTGTGGTTGTGTGTGGCTTAAGATATGTGTTTATTTGTGATGGTTGATTGTTATCCTGATATCTTATGTTTTTTTGTTAGTATAACTTTAGATTGGTATAATTTTTAGATACAATTTCAACACTATAGATATCGATTGTTTTTTTGGAATTATAAATGAATACAAAATTATAAAACAAAATAAACATTCATTCGCTAGTCGTCAGCGGGCACCTGTCACTAAAGTTTTGAATTCATTCGCTAGTCGTCAGCGGGCACCTGTCAGTAGTTTCAAATTTATTCGCTAGTCGCCAGCAGTAAAGTTTCGAACTTTTCTAATTCATTCGCTAGTTGACACTCGAGATTCTTAATTTTATAAATTTATGTTTAATTGTACATTAATCTGATAAAAGGTTCTTATGCATACGTAAAAAATGCGAATGTTTCTTAAGAAGATGATTTCCTATTAAACTAATGTAAGGTTACTTAGATTTACTCTTTTTTAGCTTGGTTATCTAGGCAACTTAAGAGGTGTTTCTACAATTATTTATTAATAAAGTTTTAAGATAGTGCTATTGTGATGAATAACTATATGAAGCATTGGTGGGCAAACTTTTTGCTGTGAGGGCCGCATTGAGAACTTATTTGACCTTTGAATAGTCACATATGTTTTTAATTTAATTAATTAAATAGCAAATTTTTTGGACCTTTTTTTGTCTCTTAATTTTATGTTCTTAATGTGGTCTTTTTTTGGCCAGCTCTGATTCAGATTTAGACTGATCTAGACGTAGTATTATATTTTTATGGCATATTTACACACAGACCTAGCCTTTATTTTTATCGATCACCTCACTAAGTCATCCTCTAGTCTATCAATTTGCCGTTACTTCATTTTATATTCCATCGTCAATTACTTTTCTTTTATTTCTTTTATAATTATTATTTATTTTATTCTAACATATTTTATTTTTCATGTTTTATCATTTCTCTTCCACACTTTTTGTATTTATTTTCTCACTTATTTTTTAATTTTGTTTTACTGCCTTGCATGTTGTTACAGTTTCTGCGTCTGTCAGATCCTGTTTTAAAGAATAATAAAAAAAAATTATTTAATTAGGAGAATGTAAGAGTTTAAAGTAAATAAAAGTAAACGTTTGAGAGAATTCATACGCTTGTTATTGTCTCTAAGTTTTTTATGCTTATTATATTCTTACATGAAAAACTATAATCGATAGCTTTCGTTTTAATTTATCTACACTTTCTATCATTCAATGCAACTTGGATCACTGAATACAGTCTATAAAATTGTTTTGCTGTAACTACCAGCATCGGTGGTTCAGTGGTAGAATGCTCGCCTGCCACGCGGGCGGCCCGGGTTCGATTCCCGGCCGATGCAAATTTTTTTTTGCATTTTGAAGGTATAAATTTGGTAACGCTAATAATAGAAGTTGTAATAATATAAGTTATAAAAAAATTTTCAATCAGTGATTCAGTCTTATTTGTATAAAGGCGTTTAAGAGACACTTGAACTGTTTTTTTTAATTATTTTGTTTAAATTTATAACTGAAAGAATATGATATGGCAGTTCCTGGCTTCCTGGCATTGTCATATGTATAGAATCAAAGCAAAACCGCGTTTTTTTCATTTAACTTTCTTTGCTCTTGAAAAACTTTAATGTTATTTTGTCTTTGCTTATACTTATGAAGTTTCATTTTTAAAATTTTTTATATATCGTTAAGAATTTAAGATGGCCGACCCGAATGACTGGTTGACCGATGGAAAAATCAACAAGATGGAGGTTGATTACAGTGCAACTGTGGACATCAAAATTCCGGAGTGTGAGAAGTTAGCTCAGGCAAGTGTTTCATAACATTATTCAACAAATTATCTACTTTTAAAATCACTTTTTGTTTAGTCATGGTCCAGATCTTAAATCTAATTGAACATTTTTCCGATTTGATCCGACCATTAACTAATTTTAATTTAATTGAATCTAAATGTTTCATTGGAAAAAATATATTTCATTATTTTTTCAGCAAAATTTTGTAGTTTGAGACTGTGAATTTGTCAATAAATATCACTGTTTTGTTTAATTTTTATTATGTTGGTGGTTGGTGTTTACAAATTGTTAATTTAATTTTATATTTAACTATTTTTCATAATTAATTTTCATTGTTTTAATGAATATTCATTAGAATGGAAAGCTAGAAGAAGCCATTGATACATTGTTTGTGCTGGAGAAACAGACAAGAACTGTATGTTGGAATAATTTGAGTTTAAAATAATAATAATAATGATAATATGAGTTTGATTTGCCCACAGGGTGCTGATGCCATATCCACAGGCAAAATCCTTGTAACCATTGCCAGAATATGCTATGAAGCAAAAAGATTTGATCTACTGAATGAGCACATCATGACCATGATTAAGAAGAGAGGCCAGCTTAAACAGGTATCCTTGTATTTTGGGTTCTAGGTACTGTTGGTATATTTCTTGCATTGTTTGCATTCACTGTGTTAAATGTATAATGATGACATGCATACTGTATCCTAATTTGGTCCAAACAACCAAACAATTTAGGCAGTGACAAAGATGGTTCAGGAAGTGTTCACTTACATCGACAAGATTGATGATATGCCGACAAAGTTGAAGCTCATTGACGCACTGAGGACAGTTACTACTGGAAAAGTTGGTCTAGATGATGAAGATGAGATGTGATTATAACAATACCACCACATCCATCAATATGTAATCTATCTTAATTATATGCCATGTAATGTCATGTCATCGATTTGGTCATGTGATGATGATGATGTGATCTAGTGATAACAATGTCATAACCATCATTATGTTAATTTATGGTAATTTATGTCAATTTATCTTAATTTATGTTAGTTTATATTATTTCATGCTAATTTATGTTAACTAGATATACGTGGAAAATGAGAGAGCTCGGTTGAGTTTGATCCTTTCTAAGATTAGGGAAGATGAGGGAAACATCACAGAGGCTGCAGCCGTTCTGCAAGAACTTCAGGTTTGTATGTCTGTGTGTATCTGTGTGTTTGTATATATATATGTGTGCGTGCGTGTGCGTTTGTGTGTGTTTGTATGTGTTTGTATGTGTGTGTGTCTTTGTGTGTGCATGTACATGTTTAGAGCAGTTTTACCATACAGTATTTTAGCAATAGCAAGTTGTATTTGGGATGTTGGTGCCTGAAATTTACAAACATATCCTCACAGGTGTTTATACATAGGCAAAACACACACATATACACTCTCCTCTCTCTCCCTCTCTCTCTCTCTCACACACACACATACACACGCACATACATACAATACACGCACACACACACACACACACACACACACACACACACATAAAATACATTCACATACATACACGCATACAATACACACTTACATGCAATACATACACATTCAACTATTACTAGGTGGAGACATTTGGAACGATGGAGAAGCAGGAGAAAGTGAATTTCATCTTAGAGCAAATGAGACTCTGCCTACTGAAGAAAGATTATGTCAGGGCGCAAATCGTCAGTAAGAAGATAAATGTCAAGTACTTTGAGGAAAAGGATACACACGTTGGTGATGATGGTGATATTAATTTTTCTGTAATAATACACACACAAACACACACACACATATGTATTATACCCATATACACGTGCGTATTTGCTTTGTAGGAGCAGAAGTTAAAGTTTTACAAGTTAATGATTGAGTTGGACTCGCACGAGGGCTCCTACCTCTCCATCTGCAAGCATTACCTCGCTGTCTACAATACTCCTGTCATTAAGGAAGATCCAATTAAGAGAGATGAGGTATGTTTTGACGGTGTGATGATGTCATTTGGTGACGTCATTTGGTGACGTCGTTCCAGTTTTACTGGTGTTTTTGCTGTTGTTGATTTTGCTGTTGCTTGTTGTGGCTATGCTGTGCGATTTTGTGATTGTATCAAAATGCTGTCATCCATCGTCACCATCGTCATTTTTTTCAGTTGCTTGTTGTCATGACATGTTATCTGCACTTCCTTTCGTATAATCACCTCCACCCGTCATCATCATCATCATCATCATCATCATCATCATCATTGTTTTCCATCATCATCATCATCATCATCTTCCTTTCTAATCACTCAGGCATCTTTTTTTCTCATATCATCGTCGTTTTACTCAATCGTCATCGTCGTCGTCTCGTCATTAGGTGCTGACGTGTGTGGCTCTATACTTGATTCTGTCACCGCACGACAACGAGCAGCACGATTTGATACATCGCATCCAGCAGGATCCAATCATTGAGGAGTTGCCTTATGTCAAGTCAGATGAGGGTTTTGTGGTTGTGATGATGTTGTTGAATGATGATGATGAAGCAAATGATGATGTTAATATGATGAGGATAATGTGTGTGTGTGTTTGTGTATTTGTGTGTGTGTGTTTGTGTGTCTGTGTATGTCGATGATGATGATAAAATTTGATAATCTTACGATCAGTCCAATGACCTTCAAATCATTCAACCAATCAATTCACTCAATCACTTAACCTACTAACCAACCAACCAATCAATCAGTCAACCAATCCATCAAGCAACCATTCAACCAACCAACTGACCAACCAATCAGAGACCTTCTACAGCTGTTCACGACGACAGAATTAATGCGATGGAAAGCATTGGTCGATGAGTACGAATCAAAACTCAGGGACAGCTTTCCAGCCATTCAAATATTCGATAGGAAATCAGAAGCAGGGAATAAAAGATGGAAGGATTTTAAGTCGAGACTCGTTGAACATGTTGGTGTTTGTGTGTGTGTGTGTGTGTGTGTGTGTGTGTGTGTAATGCTTTCTACCTCACCACACTATCTCCAACAGAACATTCGTGTAATGGCAAGTTACTACACACGCATCACCATTTGTAGGATGGCTGAGTTGCTGGATCTTAGTTGCGATGTTAGTCTTGTTTTTTAGTCTTTGTTTGTTTGTTCGTTCGTTCGTTTGTTTGTTTGTTGATTTGTTTGTGTTCTGCTAATTTGTAGTTGTTTGTTAGTCACCGTTGGCTCTTGGCCGTTTTTTTGGGTTTTGTTTTGTCTGCTGCAAGTCTTTTAATTTTACTTCTAAAATGCAGTTGTGATGTAGCCAACCGTAACGTACAACCGCCATTCTTATGTTTCTTTATTTTTATCCAAGCTCTGATGACATTAAACTAACTCATCTCATTCTTACCACTGCACGATAACTTTTCGCGAAAATTTCCTCACTTAGGAAGCAGAAGAATTCTTATCAACGTCAGTGGTGAGCAAGACGATCGAGGCTCGTATCGACAGATTGGATGGTGTCGTCTGCTTCAGAAGATCGAAAGAACCGAATGACCTGCTGAACGATTGGTCGCATAACATCAACCAACTGATGGATCTTATCAATAAGACGACACACCTCATCACTAAGGAGGAAATGGTGCATAAATTGTGGTGATTATGGCGACTGTGATGGTGATGGTTGTTGTGAGGATGTTAGTTGTGGTGATGATGGTTTCTTGTGATGATGGTTTCTTGTGATGATGAGGACGATAATGATGGTGATCTTTAGTTCCGTATTGATGATTTTTAGTTCCATATTAATAATAACAATAATAATTTTTGAATAGGATATAATAACACGACGACGACGATCGATGATGATGATGACGATGATGGCTGTTGATTTCGTTATTGTTTACTTGTTCTTTTTGCTGCTTATTGTATCAATTAAAATGATAGAAATTTGTTGTTGTTTTTTACAAGATAAAATAATAAAAATGACTAGATTGTGTTTTGTTTCGCAAGATATTTACACATATTGTATAGTCCTATTGGTGTCAATCGCAAAGTTTAACAAGGAAATGCATTTAGAATTATCGTTGATCGCAAAAAATGCATTGCAGATATAATGATTGTTATTATATTTCATGCTCTGTTGGGCACTGTTACTCATTATTTGTTTTTGTCCCCGCTAAACATTCATCCATAACCAAATGGTGGTCAGTTTTTATATAGATCTGTATCGAAATGCACGTGGGTGTCTATGTGTTAGAGAGAGAAGAGTAGAAGAGAGAAAGAGAGAGAGAGAGAGAGAGAGTTATAAGTAAAAAGAGCAACGAAATCAATTATGACATCTGCCGCTAGCGTCATGAATATTAAAGATGGGCTCATGAATATTTAATGAACTTCATGAATTATTAATTCGAAAGGCCCGCGGTTGTTGTTTCTTAAATTATGTTCAGTCATTGATGAAAGCGTATCTCATTGCACCGGGAAGACTGATGTACAATTTTGTACGCTTGTGTGTGTGCACATGTGTGTTTTTGTATAATGTGTGTTTGTGGGTTTGTTTGTGTGTGTGCGTGTGTGTGTATGTGTTTGTGCGTGTGTGTGTGTGTGTGCGTGTCTCGTCTACTTGGTTACTGTCATGTGCATATGTGATCTGTTTGATGTAGAAAAAATAGCTAGTGAAGTATTGATCGATTCGAATGATGCTAGCTCGACATTTTGAAAATTTAATAAATATTTTTGCTGAACTGTTAATATCAAATGTATCATGGGAAAAAAGAGGAAAAGTTAAAAAGAAAAATAGAGATGAAAGAGAGAGAAAGAGAGAGAGAGAGAAAGTTTAAAACAGACGAAATACTACTAGGAATAGATAATAAGGAAAAGAGAAAAAAAGGTAGAGTGAGATAATACAAAAAATAATAAATAATAGGAGACAGGTGAAGACAGAGAGAAAGAGAGAGAAAGAACGAGTGAGAGATAAAGAAAAATAAAAGAGAGAGGGAGAGAGAAAGAGATAAATAAATATACAGATTATGGCAAAAGATAGAAAGATAGTAGAATGAAGATATAGTTGAGGAGAGAAATGTTGTTAAAGTAATCAAGAGGTTAAAAAAATTTTCGGCCGGATCATAAAAAATGAATGACTGAAAGAAAGTATAACAGATGGGAAAAATCTTGCAGTGGGAAAAATTTAGAAAATGAATAAAAAAAAATAATAATAAATTATAATGAAAATAATAATAAATAATAACAAAAAAAAAGAGGCAGAACTAACTACGGTGATGTGAAGGGGAGAAAAAAAAAATTTAGCTAAAAATAAAACCAATAAACGAACGAGTGAAACTGATGATGATGATGACGATGATGATGATGACGATAATGATGGTGATGATGACGACGACGATGACAAAAATACTGTGATGCTGATGACAATAATGTTGAAAATAAAGAAGACTGAGAGTGATGATGATGATGATGTTGTTGATTACAAAACTGATGACCACCAACACAGCCAAAGTTGATTAAATAAATAGAGGTTTCTCGGTGTGGAGTCCATCTTATAACTTGCATCGTCGTCTTTTTCTGTCTCCTCATCATCATCATCATCATCATCATCATCATCATCATCATCATCATCATCATCATCATCATCATCATCATCATCATCATCATCATCATCATCATCATCATCATCATCATTAGTATTATTATCAACATTCTCTTTTTCATCATCGTCGTCATGTTCCTTGCCATAAATTGAGAAATGATAAAATGTGGAAATTACTGCGAAAAAGATTTTTTTTCAAATCGAATTAAGTATGTGAATGAGTTTGAGGATGCAAAAAAAATTGGCAGCATACTGAATTGTAATGAATTGAATTCAGCCAGAGTTCAAACACAATCAATACTGAACCGAGATGAAAGCGTCGTTACGTGTGTGTGTGTGTGTGCGTGTGTGTGTGCGTGTGTGTGTGTGTGTCGGCGGTCCTCCAACTAAACTCAACCGCGTACTTATTTTATTAATTACTTTGGATGATTAATTAAAATAGTAAATTAGATTAATTTTGATAAATTAGTTACTAAGTAAATGAATGAGTGAGTGAGTGAATAAATTAATAAATGATTTTTTTATATATTTTTTTAACAACAATATCAACAACAACAACTCAACAACAACATCAACAACTACTCAACAACAACAACAACAACATCATCAGCAACAACTCAACAACACGACTAAACAACAACATCAACAGCAGCAACAACTTCATTTTCAAAAAGACGAAGGAAACCCAAAGATTCACTGGCATATATATCGTCTTCGTCATACATAATTAATATTAAATTGTTAAGCCCCTTAGCAAATAACTTTAGCAACAACAACAAGCAATAACAACAACAACAACAGTAATAACAAGAATAATAATAATAATTATTATTATTATTAGAATTCAAAATAATAATAACGCGGGTAATTCCATAAAGACAACTTACAAACAAACAAACAAACAAACAAACAAACAAACAAACAAACAAACAAACAAACAAACAAACAAACAAACAAACAAACAAACAAACAAACAAACAAACAAACAAACAAACAAACAAACTACAACAACATCAAGGAGGCAGGGAAAACCAATGCATGCAAAAAACTTTTCCATGGAAAAAGAAACAAAATAATTATCGCGTCTTTCGTGACGTCATCTTCATCATCGCATCGTTGCCATTGTTATCATCCTCATCTTCATCATCGTCGTCATCGTCATCATCATCGTCATCATCAACCCCCATCATTATCACCATCATCATCACCACCACCACCACCATCATCATCATCCTCGTCGTCGTCATCATCATCATCGTCATCATCATCATCATCATCAATATCATCGTCGTCGTCTTCATCATCGCAACCATTTTAAAAGGTTTTCATTTAAAATTCTCTGCTTTATAAAATCCCTTAAATCCATTATCTTCAAAATGGAAGAGAAATAATAAATGTATTTTTTTTTCATTATAAATAATAATAATAATAATATTAATAATAACATTAACAATAATAATAATGATGATGATGATGATGATGATGGAGATGCTGGTGATAACAAAATCCCATCCTATCACAAGCAGCATTACATTTGTTTTTGTCTTGTTTTTCAGGTTCATTTATGTGCATGTGTGTGAGTGTGTATGTGTGTGTGTGTGTGTGTATGAGAAGTAGGAAGAAAGAAAGAGAAAGAGTAAGTGTGAGAAAAAAGAGATAGAGTTTGTGTATGTATAGTGTGTGTGTGTGTTTGTGTGCGTGTGTATGTGTGTGTTTGTGTGTGTTTATGTGCGTGTGTATGTGTGTGTGCGTGTGTGTGTGCTTCTTTACATGTACTGGTCCAGTATATAGAGGAAAACGTATAGTGGCCGTCTGGAAATTTAAAGGTTTCTTGAGGAAAGGTTGATGAGTGATGACAAGAGATGACGTTGATGACGATGGCAGAAATAAAAATGTTTTTTTGTGTGTTTATGTAGGTGTGTGCGCGCGTGTGCGTATTACGTTTGCGTATGTATGTGGTGTGGCGAAAATGATGATATAAAATGATTGTTACTAGTGATTTGGAGTAATGTTAAGTATTCAGAATCATCACATTACAAACATCCATGATCGTAATTATTCTCAGCTTAAGCCTGATCACTGCAGATGATGATGAAATGATGATGTTAGTTTTAGTGAGGTTGTTGGGGACGATGGTAACATAGGTTAAGATTAAATTAGTGATAAAAATGTGGGATTTCAAAAAGTAATGATGGGAAACGAAGATAAATTCGATAAAAACAACACTAAAAATAATAAGATTTGAAAGAATAATGATGAAGATGATGATGACGATGATGATGGAGATGATGATGACGATGATGATGAAGATGATGATGGAGATGATGATGAAGATGATGATGGAGATGATGATGAAGATGATGATGAAGATGATGATGAAGATGATGATGGAGATGATGATGAAGATGATGATGGAGATGATGATG